ATCCAATGTATTGCTTTGAAGCTCATTGGATCTTATAATTCTGTTGTAGTATCTCTACAAAAATAGTTTTATATAACTATACATTATATAGCCGATTTTTGTCATGTTAGAGCCTAATTTAACCCTAGCGCTCATACAAAGTTCCCTTCAGAAAATGACTTGAAGTAGGGTTTATAGGTCGTGGAATTTCCCTGGGAATACTCGGAAAAATTTTATGGAAAAATTTTATAAATTTTCCATGAATTTCCGGGAATGAAATATTTTTGAAATCAATTTCGGGATATGAGAATTGAGTTAATTATTCAAATATTTTGGAATTTAGGTAGAAATGTTATTCAGATAATGGTCGGCCATGTCCAAATATACATTTTTACTTGTTTACAACAGAAGTATAATGTTTATGGATTGAAATTTGAACTTATTGGTACTATTTTTATCCCCATGTATTTGGATAATAATTTGTAAATATCATCCCTATTAAAGGCTTAAATTTAAACATCTGCATTAAAAAATTCTGTTTGTTGCTTTAATAAAATATATAAGTTAAGTAGCTGTGAATTAAGATACTTGAAGAGTGAGTTGGATTTTTTCCAAAACTAACAAATAATAAGCACAGAATTTAATTTTGAGGCATTGAAAGATACTTATAGGGACTTTCCACGAGATATTCTTAAATTTCATATTTATGTAATTGAGAATTCAAAGAACTGTTTTCATCTTCAAAGGAAATTAGACAAAGTGAGAAATGGAATTTTAAATTTATTTGCCGCTTATTTGGAAAACCTCCACAACTTTTTATGGACCTGAAAATTAAGTCCCTTTCTAAAACTCCGCTTTATTAACATATAAACAGAACACATACTTTTCAAAATATATATGGAATCTCCCATAAATGAGATTTTACTAAACTTAAATACATTATTACATCTTCATAAATAAAAAAAATTCTATTAAATAGACTCCATTGGTAAATGAATTTAACTTATACATATACGAATAGATAAAGTTATATCATTGTTTACTGCTACATTGACAGCAGTTTGAATTTGAAAATGTTTTTTGACATTTATACGTATGAGTGAGTCTAAGAGTCGGGCGGTTATTTAAGGCTACAACAAAGTAAACATTACTATTTAGATACACATTTGTGCTCTCATTTAATCAGTGAGTAGTCACAGTCACAGACAGTAATTGTTTATAAAATAATGAGATTTACACAACAATAACAAAGTTAAAATGTAGATTATTTCGTAATTTATTTTGAATCTTTTACATTTTCAAATCCCTAAAAACTAATAAATTAATGAGTTTGACTCAGTATGTGGCTTGGCTGCTGATCCCTTCTATAAGTTAGGGAACAATTTTTTAATTACGAAAATTGGGAATCAAGTGTATCAAGTTTGTATGTGGATTTTAATCTACCCTTGTACACATTTATTCATATGTATTTATTTTAGACTAAACATTAATGAATATTTAATTATTTAATTAAATGACAAAGTATTTGATTTAGTACAATTAAAAGTTTTGTTTGTTCTTTGGAAAAGAGTAATTTATTTTATGGGTATTAATTCATGTAGAGATAAAGGAGTTACGTACATATGTATTACATTTTAATTTACAATTACATATGTCCTAAAAATAAAAAAAAAAACAAGTAAGAAAGTATAGTCGGGCGTGGCCGACCATATGATACCCTACACCAGTTATGAATATTAAATGTGATTTATTTTTCATAATAAAGCATTTATCTTCAATATTCCCTTGTTCCGATACATTTAAGCAATTTATGGATGAAAAACTTATTTTCTGAAAGAGGCTTTATATGGGGGCTAGGGGCAAATATGGACCAAGCCCGATAAAATTTTGTGAATATATTTATATTTACATAATATTTTATTGTGCTGAATTTCATCGCGATATTTGTGTTTATAAGTTAATTTGGGACATTCAAGTAATTTTCTGAAGAGGACTTTGTATGGGAGCTAGGGTCAAATGGGGCCCGATCTTTATGAAATTTGGCAGGGTCACCAAGACTTCAATAAAACTTAGTTGTGCCGTATTTTATCGATATATCTGTATATTTAACATAATTATGAGCTCAGAAGCCCTTTTCGGGGGGTTCTGTTCTATGGGGGCTAGGTGAAATAATGGACCGATTTTAACCATTTTCAATAGGCTTCGTCCTTGGGACAAATAAAACGTGCGTGCCGAATTTCATCCAATTATCTTAAAAATTGCGACCTGTACCTTGCGCACAAGGTTTACATGGACAGCCAGCCAGACGGACGGACGGACGGACATAGCTTAATCGACTCAGAAAACGATTCTAAGCCGATTGGTATACTTTAAGGTGGGTCTAGGACGAATATTTTTGTATGTTACAAACATCAGCACAAATCCAATATACCCTCCCCACTAAAGTGGTGTAGGGTATAAAAAACAGACAAGTACGTGCAGCTTAGATTTGATATTTAGAACAGGGTTGGCGATGTTGATACAACTGCACTTGTTTTGATACAGTTCTATCCTTAGTCAGCTGGATCTTAAATTAATAACATCATTGTAAGTAGAGTCAAACAAGCATTATTTTTTATTCCAAAATTTGTCTCTTCTGGACATTGAAGCTGACCTTAACAATGAAAAATCTTATATTATTAGTATCAGCCTTGGAAAAGCTTGACTAAACTACAATCTGGTTTCTAAAAGAAGTACTCTTATAAAGAACGAAGCGAGGACAAATAGGGGCACTAAAGGGTCTAAAAATATCGATTTTACACAGATGTGACTTAGGAACACATATCAAGATGCGATTTGTCCAAAACAATCTACTCAAAACACTGAACTCTGAATCTGATTACGAACTGAATCCTCTGAATACGAAATCTCAAAGACTCGAGGAAGTACATACTCTCATTTTCGGATAGTATCCCGGAAACACAACATTATGACCAGCGTGAACCGGGTCGTAACGGCCATGTATATTTACAAAAGAGTTAACACCACAAAATGGGGAATAACCATAAACTTGTTAACTGGTTTTTGAGGAGGTTAAGTATTAAACCGATTCTATTCTATTCACAGTTTTTTGGAAAGCACTGGACAGAAACTCCTTAACTGCTTATTCCTTGACAAAGTTCTATGGAGAATGTCAATCTATATAATAAAATGCCCGGAAAAAATACCTATTTAGGCACTATTTGCATCGCTAAACAAAATGCCAATTGACTTGTTATCCAGGAAATTAGTACTAAACACTGCTTTCTCATAACCCATAGAGACATACAAGTATTATAGACAAGATATCTAGTATACCAAATTATATGGATTATTGCATTCTCAAAGCTTTCCTCCAGATAAACATCGGTTTTACTATCTTCGAAAATGTAAAGCTAGGAAATAGAGAATAGAGTTTATCACTGAATTCGGGACTCATAACTATTGTAGTCTACTATTGTGTATAGTCTGTATATCAGCAGAAAATTTGGCTTAAGTATTACATAAATATCGATCTGAAATATTCAAACCTTTACCGATACCGGGCATTTTTAAACCGCCAAGAGATGCGCTAAAATCGGTACGCAACACAAGGAATCGATGGGCAACTGTATAGCTAATAAATTAGCGACAATCAAAGCATTAATGTCCGATATATTTAGATATAAAATCCCTTTTCAGAGCCCCTCAGAAAGTGTGCATATAAAATTTCTCTGACCAGATTAACCAACGTACCAACTTGCGTCATTACCAAGAAAATATGATCAATGCTTGCTACTAAAGACACAGCAAATCTCCTAGAACTATGTCGACCTAAACTCAGCTTATTGGTAAAACAAAAACTTTATATAGTATGCACTGAACGTATTATCGTCCGATGTTCAATTTTGTATAGCTGCGTCCGTAATACAGTGTATTCACTCAGAATATGTACTATCGAACTGACCTCAGATTTGCTCATTTTGAGGAGACTTCTCGTACTTGTCTCGTTAGGGTCAGTCCATAGGATATTTGTGGTTCAAACGGTTTTGCGTTCGTCAGGTTAACTACCACGAGTTCTCTTCCCTTTAAAGCTATTATATTTGCTCTTTCGTTGCCGACTACTCTCGAGTGGCCTGGTACCAATATGATAAAAACTTTATATTTGGGAGAATGTTTGATTAGAGATTTCTCACAATCCAATATGGTCCTCGATTTAACTTTATCCCCTGATATTGCATAAATGCGTTTTGGCATTGATGAGAATAAATATGGCGCAATGTTGGCATTCCGTTATTATTCGGACTTCAGTCTGGAAGATAGTGTTGTGATTAAGTAAGAGGTGGCATATTTATATAGCTTTCCAATGCGCTGACTACAGCTGTTTGATAATTTAATAATTCTCTATTTGTCCAAAGAAGTCCGTAAGTTTGAATCGGTCTTGAAGCATAAGTTAGAATCGGTCTTAGTGGGCCGAATTAATAAAAGTTCCAAATTCAGAAGTTGAAAAGGAGTACAGTTTCAAATTCCCTGGTAAATATAAATTGTATCGAGTAATACTTTTATTATGATGAAAAATTGTGGGATTTGACCCAAAAATATCGAAATGCTGTTAAAGAGTAGTACAGAGTATCCGAAATGTCTTACTAAAAAGTCTGAAGCGGATGTTCAAACTGATTTTTGAATCTTCATCAGAAATTCCTAAAATGAACAGTCAAATATAAATAAACACACAATCGTAATTGCTCTTCATTTATGTGCAACTTGCCATAAGACGTCTAAATTTGATGATTATTAAACCATAATTTATTCCTAGTAGTTACCATCAAACCTAAACAATCCATTAGAATTTTGTGTGGCACTGTAGCAAAGATAAGTATGTAAATGGGTATGGAAATAGAAAATGAAAATTTATTACACTCAACTCTAGTTGCATGTAAAAATTGTGTGTATAAAATTTAAGTATCCTAGTAGTAATATGTAGCAAGTGTTTATGCTTGCAACTCGTACTTAGTTAAACTTACCTCATGTAGAAAATTATCGGTAAATGAATGAGCCAAATTGTTACTTGTACTTTCCGTGCTACAATTTTCATTTCTAATTGTAATTCCTGCTATCGTTGCTGTTGTTGTTACCGTAGTATCTCTACTAACAACAGTTGTTGGTTGTTGTGCTGCATGGGTAGTTGGGTTTATTGCATTAGAGTTGTTGTTGGTGTTGTTAGTATTAGTAACTCTATTATGATTCGGTCGTGTAAGGGCGGAAAAACGACGACCCTGTGTTATTGTTGTCACATTTGCTTTTAAAGTTTCCAAAACGGGTTTGAATAAATTCAAATGTTTGTTCAAACGATGTTGACGTTGACGTAATGGTCGTAAAGAATTTTTCTTATACAAGGACTCGTACGAAGGTGGTTGTTTATTGGTCTCATCTGTTAGGGTAGCTGTGGCAGGTGGTGGGGGTGGTAAGAGTGTTACTGCTGCAGCTGAGTTTGCTTCCATAGAACTTTGCTGATGAGCAGTTGATGAAGCTGGTTGTTGCGTGGTTGCTGCATTAGAGGTAGACCACCATTTGGTAAGATTTGGTATACGTCCATAGGAAGAGTGATAGGAAATGCGATTTTTCTGTTGATAAGATGACATCATTGTCATCATGGCAGAGGAACTTGTAGCTGCTAATGTATTCTCATTATTATAGACATCATTAAATGTATCATCCACATTTACATTGACATCATCGTCATCATCTACAACGTCATCGTCATCAATTTCGTCATCCTCATCATGTTCAGCTGTAATGGCAGTGTTGTTCAGTAAACGGGTATGGGGTGTTGTTGTTGTCGTTGTTGTTGTATGCGCATTTAGCATAAGATTTGAAAAAGGCACTAATGGTGTTGTTACAGATGGATCACATAAATCTTCTGTTGTATAATATGCGCTCGACGTTGCTATTAAACTTGTTGCTGCCACAGCTGCTGTTGCTGCTGCTCTTACCGGTGTTGCTGTTGTTATATATGCCACAATATTTGTTGCTGTTAAGTGTGTGGGCGTTAGGGGATATTGTGTGGGTGGCAGTGCTGTCAATGCTCCTAGTGATGAGAGTGGTGGCAGTGACGTCGGTGGTGGTGGTGTTAAGGGGGGTATTTGAGTTGGTACACTCGTATAATCATATTGACTTTTAGATTTTTTCAATTGACGTTGCAATTGTTCATCATCGTCATCGGATGATGTATCTGTTGTTGAGGCACGTTCATATGGTGTCCATAGCATTGATGATAGAGCCTCTTCAACGTCAGGTGGTCTTCGTTGTTGCTGATGATGATGATGGTGATGGGAATTTTGTAGTGCTTGTTGCTGCTGCTGAAAACTTATACGTTTCGTTGTCATCGTGTCTGTGGGCATAGATGTTGTTTTTTTGCTTTATTCTCCTGTTGCCATAAAATTGAGACATTTCACTTGGAATTTTTCCTCTTTTGATATAGTTTTATTATTCCTTTATGTATATCTGTTTTTGGGGTCTTTTTGGAATTATTAGTTTTCAAAAGAATTTCATATTGATTTGTTTGCTTCTTTTGCAATACTTTGAGTATATGTAAATATTTGCCGATTCAAAATCTTTTGTAGGTAAATATTGAAGAAAAAATTTCACTTTTTTTATCAGCTTCTGAGTATTCAGGAAAGAAGGTATGGATCTATCTGTAAGTATTAAAATAATAAAATATATTTATAAACATATTTGCAATATTTTTATGAAAATATATAAAATCTTTATCAATTCAATAAACAATGAAGAATTACATTCCTATTCTGTTTGATATGTATTTATATGTAAAGAGCGATTTTACCCCCATTAAGACTTTTTCAAAGCAAAATATTTACCATATAAAATGAGAATATCTTATAATAACATAGGCCGACAAATTTAACCTCTGTTATATTTTATCCCTTCTTTGATATACATGTCTTAAATTAAAGTTTCATTAAAATTGTATAAAAAAATGACTAAGATATTTCGAAAGCATGATAAGATGTACAACAAGAGGTTTCAGTTTTGTGGAAGTTACTGTTCAGGATTTTGAGTTTAGCACACAATTAAATTCTGAGTAATAATCCGATCAATAGTCTACACTATTGTTTGAACTATACCCTAAACTAAAGTTTGGAATATAGTTTAAACTATAGTCTGTACAACAGTCTGAAATATAGTCTGGTACACATATTGTCTAAACTATTGTCTGAACTGCAGTATAGACTATAGTCTGAAATATAGTCTCGACTATCGTCTGGATTATAGTGTACTATAGTCTAAGCTATTGCCTGGACTGCAATCTGAACTATAGCTAAAATTATTGTCTTGTCTATAGTCTAGACTATAGTGTATCTAGTCCAGACTAGACTATAACCTGGACTATAGTATTGTCTATAGTCTGGACTATAGTTTTGTCTAACTTCTGGACTATGGTCTTGTCTATGGTCTGGAATATAGCGTTGTCTAACTTCTGGACTATGGTCTTGTCTATAGTCTGTACTATATTCTAGTCCATAGACTGAACTATAATCTACTCTATAGTCTGGCTTATAGTCTTGTCTACTGTCTTGTCTATAGTCTTGTCTATAGTCTTGTCTACAGTCTTGCCTATAGTCTTGTTTATAGTCTGGACTATAGTCCTGTCTATAGAATGGACTATAGTATTGTCTATAGTCTGACTATAGTCGTATCTATATACTTGTCTATAGTCTTATCTATAGTCTTGTCTATGGTCTTGTTTATATTCTGGACTATAGTCTTGTCTATAGTCTTGTCTATAGTCTTTTCTATAGTATTGTATATAGTCTTGTCTACTGTGTTGTCTATAGTCTTGTCTATAGTCAGGTCTATAGTCTTGTCTATAGTATTGTCTACTGTCTTGTCTATAGTTGTGTCTATAGTCATGTCTATAGTCTTGTCTTTAGTCTTGTCTATAGTATTGTCTATAGTCTTGTCTACTGTCTTGTCTATAGTCTTGTCTATAGTCTTCTCTATAGTCTTGTCTATAGTCTTCTCTATAGTCATGTCAATATTCTTGTCTATAGTCTTGTATATAGTTTGGACTATAATTTAGCTTATAGTCTTTTCCTATCAATAATTTAAACTGAACTGACATTTTGAACCGTTACAATAGAAAGTATATTATCTTCGAATTTTATCACGACATCATAATAAGTTCAAAAGTTATTTTCGATTAGGTGAATTTCGAAAGTGGAATTTATATGGGAGTTATGACCAATTATAGGTTGATCTGGAAATGAATTTCTTAAAATGATTTTTATATACAAAACTTATTCGAGTCGAATTTTATTTCGATATCATTATTGATTATGAGTTTAAATAGGAAAATTGGGGAAAGAAATTCTGCTAGAATTTTTGATTCTAAAGATATCAAGGGTCTTTAGAATATTGATTGCAACTAACATATATTAATAGAGGCAGACGGACCTAGGATCCGTAATATACATCTACAAACATTTATAAGTCTATAGTAGAGAGCACTCAGAATCACATTCTGTGTCGATTAAGCCATGTCCGTCCTTCTTTACGACTGACTGTCTATATAAACCTTGTGTGCAAGGAACAGGATGCAATTTTCGAAATATTTTGATAAATTGTGGACCATACATATTTCTGGGCCTAAGGACGGAGTCTACTGAAAATGGCTGGAATCGGTATCTTTTTTCGCCTAGCCCCATACAACCATACCATTTGGACTTTTTAGCTCATAACTATGCCAAATATATTAGTGTTAAAACAAAGTTTGATTATTGAATTATGATTTTGTTATTGATCGGGCCTTATTTGTCCCTAGCCCCCATACAAACTTCCCTTTAGATTGGAATAAATAGGGTTTTAAGGCCTATAATAAATATAGTATTGGACGAACTTGTTCAGACTATAAGTCTACCACTAGTTCAAGATTATCGGAAATACATAATTGAATAAAATAGTGAATTTTTCGAAAGTCGTACGAACATGGCCCTTTATTGGTTATTGAAGGAAACATTAAAATCCCATATGTTATTTCACTATTCAGGTACAAGTTTATTGCCCATTGAGTTTCCCACAGCAAAAATTCGATTTAACTGAAATTAATGCATTAATTAACATTACATATGTATGGATCAACGTTATACAACTTCATAAAAAGTAATAAACATATGTATGTTTCCTAGGGTATAGCTTACAAAAATGTAATCAAAATCTCAGCCCCTTAAGGACTTCCTTCCTTCTTTCACTACCAGTACACAGTAACTTCAACACTTTTTGTTGCAGTCTATAGGAAATTAACTTTCAGGGTAAAATTTTTTCTTCACCATGACGATTCTTTTCAACATCAATCAAAAATATTGCAAACTTAAGTTGTTGTCGTTGTTTTTACTTTTCTTCAGTATTCCTTAGTTGTGGAACTGGTAATGAGTAAGAGTATCTGTGACTTTGTAGCAAATAATTATGAACTTGTGTTGTTAATTACATTTAAAACTCAACCAAGGAAATCTTTTTTTTATACCCTCCACCACCATCAGTGGTGATAGAGGGTATATATAAGTTTGTCGTTCCGTGTGTAACACCAAGAAATATTCATCTAAGACCCAACAAAGTATATATATTCTGGGTCCTCATGAAATTCTGAGTCGATTTAGCTATGTCCGTCTGTCCGTCTGTCCGTCTGTCCGTCTGTCTGTCTGTCTGTCTGTCTGTCTGTGTAAAACACGCTCACATTAAAACTAAGCAAAGGAAATCAACCAAATTCACCCAAAATATTTACTATTATCCTAAGCAGTTTGGTATTGAAAATCAGCAAAATCGGTTCACAACGTAAAAAGTTATGAGTAAAAATTTCAGACTACCTCGAAAAAAATTACGTTTTTTTCATAATTCTTTTGAAGTTTTCTCAGAAACTACCAAAGATATTTCGATGAATTTTGTCACACATTATTTTTTCATGGCAGTGATCAATTATGTTGAAAATCTTTAGAATCGATCCAATATTTCCCATAGCCCCCATACAAAGGTATATATTCCCGGAAATTAGTTTATCGTTAATAACTCCCTCAAATATATCGGTATCAACATAAAATTTTGTACATGCAAATATAATATGAACAGAAATCATACTGTTAACGTAGATCTCAGTCGGTCCACAATTGGCCATTGCTCCCATACAAGGTCCACTTCCGAAAATCACTTAAACGCACATATTTCATTGATGAATAAAGCTATTGTGATAAAATTCGAGTTAAATATGTTTTGCGTACATACAAATCATTCTACCAATTTTTTTACGGATCGGTCCATTATTGGTCATAGCTCCCATATAAGGCCCACTTCCGAAAATCATTTAAAAGCTCATATTTCATTGTCATATAAAGCTATCTTGATGAAATTCGACACAAATATGTTTAGTCTAAATATAAATCACTCTACGAAATCTTTTTCGGATAGGTCCATAATTGGTCATAGCTCCCATATAAAGTCCCCTTCCGAAAATCACTTAAACGCATATATTTCATTGAATTATAAAGCTATCGGGATAAAATTCGACACAAATATGTTTTGTATGAATACAAATCAATTTACAAATTTTTTTACGGATCGGTCCATTATTGGTCATAGCTCCCATATAACCCCACTTCCGAAAATCACTTAAAAATACATATTTCATTGTTAAATAAAGCTATCGTGATAAAATTCGACATAAATATATTTCGTATAAATATAAATTATTCTACTAAATTTTTTCCGGATAGGCCCATAATTGGTCATAGCTCCCATATAAGGTCCACTTCCGAAAATCACTTAAACACATATATTTCATTGATAAATTAGGATAAAATTCGGCAAAAATACGTTTTGTGTACTTCAAATCATTTCACCAAATTTTTTACGGATCGGTCCATTATTGGTCATAGCTACCATATAAGGCCCACTTCCGAAAATCACTTAAAAGCACATATTTCATTGTCAAATAAAGCTATCGTGATAAAATTCGACACAAATATGTTTTGTCTTTATATGAGTCACTTTACGAAATTTTTTCCTTATCGGTTGAACTCCCATATAACTCCCATATAAGGACCATTTCCGAAAATTACTCAAATGCACATTAACAATCAAAGTTATCGGGATAAAATTTGACATAAATGTGTATTTTGTATATATGTATATATAAATCATTCTACTAATTTTTTCTTCCGGATCGGTCCATAGATTGTCTTAGCTCCCATATAAGGTATACTTCTGAAAATCAGTTAATACCATTTAATTCGTAATTAAATGATTATATCCGGATAAAATCTGTGTACAGATAAATCATGATATTGAAATGTTTTCAAACTGGACTATTAATACACATTTTTCTCGACCTAATTAAAATTAGTTTGACATATGCATAAATGTTAGTACCCTCAATAAGGAAACAAACATTTTGCCAAGGTATCTAAAAATTAGATAGTTAAATGGGTTTCAATAAAAAGTAGCCTGCTGGTGGAGGGTATTTAAGATTCGGCATAGCCGAATATAGCACTCTAACTTGTTTTTTTTCATTTTCTACAATTGTTGCTGTTGTTTTCATTTAGTGCTAATTAAAATGCAAAGTGATTTTTTATGAAGAAAAAAAAAAAAAACATTTTTTAATTCTCACGCTTTTCCTTGAAAACTTTTT